GGGGGGGGGGGGGGGGTGTGGTGGTCATGTCTTGTGTTGTGTCTGCCTGGGTTGTGTGCAGAGTTTCTTCGTCGACAATGCCGTGCGCTCGGCGCTACGCGCCAACGAAGTCCTGCATCAGCTGCGCGACAGCTTCTACAAGTACGTGTGTGTGTCGTTGGCCACCACACACCACACCGCACCTCACCGCACACCAATCCCATCCCATTGTGTCTGTGCGTCTGTGTGGTTTGCCGGACAGGTTGCATGAGGCGCGTGACATCTCGGTGACGCAGGCGCTCAAGCTCTCCCTCGCCAAGGGGTTCAAGACGGTAGGTCGACTCTCGAGGTTCGCCATGATTGGGGGCGGTGTGGGCCCCTTGGGGTCGAATCGCGGGACACGCCATACAGATTGGGAGGCTGCATGTGGTGGTTGGTTGATTCAGGCGGCGTTGTCCATCGCCCGCGGCCCCCATGTCGCGCTGGCACTCAACCACCTGTGGGCCCTCAACTGCACACACACATACACATACACGCAACACATACCATCACACTGATCATATGTGAGTGTCTGTCTGTCTGCCTGTCGTCTGTGTGTGTGTGTGTGTGTGTGCAGCATCAGTCAGTACCGACACCTGCGACAGACAGACAGACAGACAGACCCCCACATGTGATCAATGTGATGGGATGTGTTGTGTTGTGTGTCTGTGCGTATGTGTGTGTGCAGTTGAGGGCGAGGCCCGCAAGTTGATAGAGGACATCTACAGCCGCACCAGCGGCACTGTGCAAGAGAAACGACAGGCCGTCAAGGAGGCACTCGAGGGACGGTACGCACACACACACAGAGAGACAGACAGACAGACACTCGCGCGTGTGTGTGTGTTGTGCAGCACCATCACGACCAGCCACGTCAAGCAGGCCTACACCATCGTACGCACACACGCCTCACACACTCACTCACTCACTCACTCAGTCACCCACCCACACTCACACGCGCACATCTGTGCTGTGCTGTGCTGTGCTGTGGTGGATGCAGCACGAGATCGACTACACCAAGACAGCCGACAGGTCACACAAACAAACACCGCAGTCGATACGATAAACCAATAATGCATTGAGTCACTGTCTCCCTGTGAGTGTGTGTGTGTGTGTGCATTCCTGCTCACTGGCTGCAGTTTGTTTGAGTCGGGCGGCGTTCAGACATCGTTCAGAACAGTGAGCAGAACACGCTCATGGATGGATGGATGGATGGGTGGATGTGTGTGTGTGTGTGTGTGTGTGTGTGTGCAGTACTTCTCCACGCGCTACAACATTGATCTCCCCCCAGGCAGCGTCCGCCCATGCTAGTACGGATGCTGCCTGCATCCACTGACACATCAATCACACTCTGACTGAAATTTTTGCCCCTCTCTCTCTGTTCTGTGTGTGCAGGTGTGTCTGCGTGGCCGTCGCGAGTGCGTCATTCCACCTGCTGTGGTCAGTCAGGCTGCATAGCACTCACTCCACACACGTGGCTGTCTGTCTGGATTTCTCTCGGTGGGTGATGTGTGTGATGTGTGTGTTCCCGCAGTGCCGTGTGACGGGTGCGCCCAAGCGGGGTGACGAGCGCTCCCTACAACTCGTGCGCCGCACCATGATCTCAGAGACGTACGCACAACCCCCTCTCTCCCTGCTCCCCCGCACTTTTCCCCCTGTGTGTCATGTCTGTGTGTCTGTCTGTTTGTCTGTCTGTGTGTATGTCAGTCGTATGGATCCGGCCCAGCGCATGAAACACCTCAAGGGCTGCTGCCTCTGTTCGGCAATCCAGCTGGCCGACCAGTTCCTCCAGGCACGTGTGTGTGCGTCTGGGGGGTTGGCAATGGATGATGAATGGCATTGTGAACCGACCCATGGATGGACGGATGGACGTGTATGTGTGTGGATGGTCAGGTGGAGGGCTGGGAGCTCGACAAGAACCTCTTCAAGTGCGACATCGGCAAGAGAGACGTACGCGAGATGCCACACACACACACATACACAACACCAGGACACACACAGAGATGTCCATGCCATATCCCTCCCTCCCTCCCTCGTGCGTGTGTGCGTGTGTGTGTGCAGCCGATCGACCCCACTATGTTGGACCAGCAGCAGAAGCAGTCGGTGGCCAAGCCGCCACCCCTCGTCGTCGACCAGAACAGCATCATGGCCGTGTGCGTCATCCAGGAGCAAGGCGAAAGACAGCTCGGACCCTTCCTAGGCGCACTCAAAACGCAACTCGACACGTACGCCACACACACACAAACACCCTCTCTCTCTCTTTCACACACACGGAGGGATGGATGGCACAGAGGGATGGATGGATGCCCTCTCGTGTGTGTGTGTGTGTGTGCGTGTGTACAGTTACCGCGTGCGTGTGGCCTCTGAGCCATTCTGCATCCCGGTGGGGGGTCGTGGCAGGCCCGAGGACAGGTGGCGAGAGGCGGCGCAGCAGGGCGTCGAGAGGATGCTCCAAATGGGCAACATGGGCCCCAAAGAACACGCTCTCGGGTACACACACACACACACACACACACACGTGGGGGAGTGGGAGAGGCAGAGAGAGAGCTGTGCGTTGACTGCATCCGTGTGTGTGTGTGTGTGTGTGTGCAGTTGTCTGCTGCTGGCGATCATCCCGGACAGCCTCGAGAAGGTCGTCTACAAGCCCATCAAGAACGTCCGCAAACACACACATACACTGGAGGGATGGACGGGCGGATGGGATGGGGGGATGCGCTCCCTCCCTCTGTCTCTGTCTGTTGTCCTCAGGTGTGTTACGTGCAATATGCCGTCAGCTGCCAGTGCATCAAGCGCGGCACCATCGAGAAGAAGATGACGGTGGGTACCCACTGAGTCAATCGCGCACTTGGCCATTGCTCACACTCATCCCTCTGTGTGTGTGGTGTGTTGATGCCATCGATCAACGCATCGCATCAGGTGGTGGCTCCCAAGCTGGTGACGCAGATCATCTGCAAGATGGGCGGCCACGGCTGGTCGATCCCGGCCATCAAAGGTGAGAGCGATGGGGCGAGTGACACACAGCACAAGACACCACACCGAACAACACGGACCCACACAATCCCCCATGCGTGTGGCGTGCGTGTGTGCAGATTCCATCAGCCCGCCCGACAAGGGGCCCAAGCCGACAATGGCCATCGGCATCAACATGGGCAAGTGCCTCAGCAGCGCCATGTGTGCCTTCACCGCATCCGTCAACATCGAGTACGCACCCAGTCAAACACCCCCACCTCCCCCCACCGCCCAGCCCATTCACCATTGAGGTGTGTGTGTGTGTGTGTAGGTTCACGAGTTACGTGTCGGTGGTGGAGTTTCTGCAGCAGGACGACCCTGCCGTTGGCCGCAAGCGGAGCTACAAAGAGAGGGAGGCCGAGGCGTTCAAGTGGTGCTTTCCCAAGTTCGTCCAGGCCTTCGCACGGTCCAACGAAGGCAGAAAGCCTGCGTAAGGAGGACTCACCACACAAGGAACAGACACAGCAGACAGACGGGCAAGCTTGTGTGTGACTGTGTGACTGTGTCGGTCGGTCAGCCGCATCATCATATACCGCGATGGCGTGCCCGAGGCCGAGAAACCCGACTTCTTCAAGTGAATGAGTCATCGCATCGCGGCCATGGATGCATCTCTCTCTCTCTGTGTGTGTGTGTGGTCAGGTACTACATGAATTCAGGCAGGAAGGGCGAGCCCGGCGCGATCCCCACCGCACTCGACCAGCTGCGGTCCCAAGAGGGTTTCGAGAACTACAACCCTGCCGTCCTCCTGTGCATCGTACGCACACCACCACCCACACACACACACAACACCCGCTCACATAGTGGATGGATGGATGGATGGATGACACACCCCCTCCTCCCTCTCTCTCTGAATATCTATGTGTGTGTGTGTGTGTGTGTGGTGCAGGTGAGCAAGCGTGGCCCGGGTGCTGTGAAGTTCTTCCAGATCACCGGAGAGGGCAGGGACGGCACTCCACAGGTAGGCGCCTGAACGACTGAGGGGGGGGTGGGGGCCTTCGGTTACATCCGTTGTGCTGTGTGTCTATTTTGTGTTGTGTTGTGTTGTGTTGTGATGTGTTGTGTGCAGGTCAGGAACCCGCCCGAGCGTTGTGTGTTCGATCGTGACGTGACCTACGACTACAAGTTCGACTTCTGTAAGCACCTTTGTTTGCACCCACACGCGCAGCGCACCCACAGGCATACGACGTAGGTAGACGTGTGTGCATCCATCTCCCTCTGGATGCATGTGTGTGTGTCTCCATGATGTAGACTGCTGCCATCAGCGCGTCACTCAGGTACGCACGCACAGCAGACAGACAGACATACAGACCCATGGATGGATGGATGGATTTATGCCACCGAGCAGGGCTCCATCACGCCGACATACTACGACGTCTTGTACAACGACTTCATCATCAAGAAGGAGGGGCAGGAGGGCGGCATGCAGGCAGCCAAAATTCAGGAATTCACACAGCAATTCGCGTCCATCTACCAGAACTGGTACGTTGGCTGGAGGAGTGGGGGTCGTCGTATGGCTGGCTCTGTGTGTGCGTGTGTGCGTGTGTGTGTGTGTGTGTGTGTTCAGGCCGGGTGGCCCGATTCGGGTGCCTGCGCCACTCATATACGCCGCCAAGCTGTCAGACATGGTGGCCGACCACCTGCGAGAGCACTTCAACCCACGCCTCGAGAGCTTTCTGTTCTTCCTCTAAGCCAACACACCCATACTCGGCCACACCTACGTGCGCATGAAGGTGCGTGCATCGCATCCACACACGCAGACGAGCGCACCAAACCACCCACACCCACCCGAGCAGCATATTTCTCTGCCTGCCTGCCTGCCTGCCTGCTTGTGCGTGTGTGTGTGGTCGTTCAGCAGTGGTTTTTCCGTCCGTGTCGATCGCTTTGAAGGAGGGGCAGTGGGATGGCATACATACAGACAGTTTTGCAATACGTGTGGGGGGTGGGTGCATACAAGGAGGAGAGATACACACGATACACACCCTGTGTATCGTCAGCACATCGCTAGCTGTGGTTTTCCCCCACTCACTCACTCCCTCACTCACTCGTCGTCTCGTCAGCTGTCTGCCTGCATATATATGGACACTTGGCGGCCCACCGAGTGACTCTGTCCCTCTCTCTCCGTGGCGTGTGTTGCTTGGGCGCGCTTGTGCGAGTAAGTGTGTATGTGATCTTCTGACAATGCATTGTGGGGTGGATCTACTGTGTGAAAGTGAACCTGTGGTCGTGACAGATGTGAGCTGGTGACACTGACACGTCAGCGCATATGTGTTACGACCACACGTCGCCCGGCACACAGTCTGCATGCCGCCGATTTTGCACCACATACGGGTGGTGGTTTCGTATGTGTTCCGGACACGTTTGTACGTGCTTGCGTGACATCCCGGGCACGAAAGAGAGAGACACGCCTAGGTTTTTCCGCCATTCATAGGGCCGCCGTCGTTGTGCATACATTTGTCCGTAGGTCTGTCTGTCTGTCTGTCTGCAGAGAGTCTGTCTCCCTCCCTCCCTTTCTGACTGCCTGGATGTCTCTGTATGTATGTATGTAGATACCTATTACACCATCATGCCGAGTCAGAGAGGAGTGATCGTAAGTAGGGTGACCAATCGCTTTATGCACGCACGTGTGCACATGCGCCATCCGCGTACATATGTGGACACAAATGATCCGTTTTGGCGCGTGACGACACAGACGCCATAAGCATCGATCGATACAGGCCGCACACATAGCAACAGCTTTACTGTGTGAAACCACGCACGCTTACCGATGTCATGAGTGGCGCCAACTTGAGAGGGGCGCGGCATGGAGAGGGCGTAGGGAGGGATTCTCGGATTTCCACATCAGTTGTCCCACATCGACTGTCGATTCATTCGCGCATGCAAGAAGGACGCCCCCATAGGCCCCCATGTCGAAAAGATGTTCCTCGTATTCTCTGCTCTCCTGTGTCGGTTTGCACTGGCCAACGGGCTGCGACACACACCGTCAGCCCGGCGCTTCACACTGGCAGGGGCGATGTGGCTCAACGTGACGTAAGCGCACAGACAGCCTGGCCCAAAGAGGAAGCAGAAGCAGGAGAAGGGCATCACCGTTTCCTTTGAACACTCATGTAAGTAGGTCTGTGTGCAGCCATGGACAGATGCAGACAGAGACCCACAACACACATGCATATGCGTGTGTGGGCGTGACATCGATGTGATATACATCCCTTCAGACTGCAATCAGGTCAACGATGTCTGTTTCTCGTGGGACTATCCCGCTCCGTCTGAGAAGCGAATGTATAGCCTGACCGACGACAAGTTTTCGAGGTGCGTGTCACACACAATCCATATGTATGCAGCAGACCGCAGGCAGGCCACTGCGCTGTTTGTGTGCATGTGTGTCACGGACAGTATAATTCGGAACATGGACGCGCCTGAGCGAGGCCTCGAGTGCGAGAGGCGCCAGGTGTTCTGCCCCGAAGACTACGACGGCGAGGGGGAGCTAACCTACCGGGGTCAGAATCAGACTGCCGCATGTCCGGGCCCCAAAAAGGAGATACTTCGGTGTTGCCGCTCGTGGGACGCCTCGAACTTTGAGCACTTCTTCATCGACGACACCACTGCTGCACCTGCAGAGGAGACAGACGAAGAGTGAGGGAGCCAATGAAAGGCATTCCTTCGTGCGTACGTACTTATGCGTGCATCTGTGTGCAGGGCCCTTCCTCTGAGCGAGGATTGCTGTAGCAGTCCCAAACACGCCCCGGCCACCGTTACCAGCGTATGTATGTATTGTATGCACCCACGTATAGTATCCAGCGCCAGACCAGACAACGCAACGGGAGGGCAAGGCAAGTACCCGCCTGCCCTGCCTATGTAGTGCTTGTCTGGTGTGTGACCAGCTCTGGGACGTTTGGCAGCTCCTCGCACAGGCATGCACTCACTGCAGCCCAGCCACCTGACCTTGATGTCGTGTTGTCTTGTTTGCTCGTCTGCTTGTTTGCTTCAGCTTCACTACGTCACTTTGCAGCGGACGGCGAAGTGGCACAAGTGGGAGACACCGCATATGCACTGGGGACATCCGCAGGAGGGAGGTGTTGAGGAGCCGCCGCGTGTGAAGGCCATGAACGATTGGGTCAGGACGTGGTTGAAACAGTACTGGCCGGTTGTCATGGAAGAGGTGAGTGACGTGACAGTCATCCAGAATGCTCCCTGCCTGCACGCGCCCTCATGGCGGCCATGAGCTTTGGATGGGCAGATGACCGTGTGGAGACGGATTCAAGTGGCCACACGCATACACATACACGCGCACACCCAGCACAAGAAGTTCATCGCGTAAGCAAGAAAGGGCCGATGGAACGAATCAGGTCGGGTGGCTGCGTCCCTCCCTGCCATCCATTTGTCGATTGATGCTCAGGCAGGTGTGCCGGTTCATCGGGCAGGCCCGTCTGCCCGTCCCTTATGACCACACCACCCGAAACCGCCTAGCGGCGCTGTACGTCCGCCCCGATCTGTGGGAGGAGGACCCTTTAGCAGATACTCTGAGACAGCGTGAGGCCTGCATCAGTGTGCCCAAGACATGGGAGATCCATGAGGCGACTGAGTGTGACGCCTTCGCAGCCCGCGAAGAACCCCGGGCCTCGGAGAAGACAGCGACTGAGGCAGGTAGCGAGGGGGAGAGACAAAGTGAGTCTGAGGAGGAGAGAGACATTGAGACGGTGTGCGTGGAGCCCACGTGGGAGACACCGGTGTTATTCGATTTCCCATCGTACGCCAACCAGCTATGTGAGGGAGAACTGAGGGATGCCTGAATAATTCATGTATGTGTCGCTTGCTGCTGACGATGTACGGCACGTGTGCGTCTGCGGCCCATGTGCCTTTGCAGGTGGTCCTCATGGCGCGTGCAAGGCCTATGACATGTACAACTTCGAGTTTGCTGACTTGTTCTGGTTGAGTGGGCCTGCTGCTATCTATCGATGCGCTGTCTGCTTACTCTGACTTGCCACATGCAGGTGCCGAAGAGGGACGAGACGTCGGCGGCATGGAAGAAGCTGTTCGACCGAAAGACCAAGGAGAAGTGCTGTGCGGTAGGCACGAGACATGGAGGCACAAACGCACACAAACCCAACACAACACATGCGCCTTTCCCTCACACGTGCGCGTGTGCATTGACTGACTCAATCAGGGCTATGTGCCGATGCGGCTCATCGAGTTGTGGCGACTGGCTTCCATCGGCTACTTCGAGACAGAGAAGCTGGGAGAAGATGCCATCAATGAAGCCAAGAAGGTTGTCGAGGCTGCCTTGTTAAGGTTTCGCGTCTCTGCGGCGCTTCAGAAAGGTCTGGACAAATGTAACAACACAGATTGATCCATCGTGTGTCGCCGAGTGCGTGTCTTCACGTGTGTATCAGGTCCTCTGCGTTTTGTGTGCAACTTTATATCCAACTACATGGCCAACTCACTGCTGGAGGACGTCAAGGCGGAGGACGTCAAGGACGTCAGGGGAGATTTTGTAGGCGACGCTGTAAAGATCAAGATCGGCCTAAAGCTGGTGCTGCAGCCAGACATCGAGGACCTGGTGCTCGAAAAGCAAACGGGGGGGAAGTCGCTTCTTGAACTGGGCACATGTAAGCGACTGACTGGAAGGGGAGCCACATGCTACGAAAGAATGTATTGATTGACGGGTGCGAATGTGGGTGAATAGGTGTGCCAGAGGACATGCTTGCCGCCTACGATGCTTCGTTCCCCACCTTCAAGCCTCCCTCCGATGCCGACAAGAAGGCCCCTTGGCTCGACTTTGAAGGCCTTTTGCACAAGGCGTGTGGAAAAAAGTTCGGCGGCCATGGGTATGACGCTCCATCCCAGGTATGACAGAAAGGAGAAGGAGTGTGTCGAGGTGTGTCGATGTGCCGATATGCGTGTGTGGTTGACTGCACTGCCACCGCTGGATGAAACACGCACACACACGTCAGATGTACAGACTATACAAGCCCCACCACGCCGTGCCCGCCCACAAGGTGAACGGGCCACGCCCAACACTCAGTGTCACGGCTCCAGTAGCTTGAGGACACATATAGCATGTGTGTCTCTCTCTCACGTACTCGTCTAGGACTTCGACAAGTGCCTTCCTGGCTATTCCCACGTCACGTTACGTCAAGTCTGGTGCGTATGTAGGCTCAAAGAAGGACCCTTCGGCGCGGTCAGCCAGCCTTCTTCTCTTCGCTTGTGTGCAGGGACTATCTCAGCGCTCGGTTTCATGTCGAACACGACATCCTGAAGCCGAAATGGCCTGCGGGAAAGCCATCGCCATCAAACAAGAAGGTGAGTGATACCTGTTGCATTGTACGCAAGAGACGAAAAAGTACAGAAGCAAGCTCCGTTGATGGTGTCCGTCAGGGAGAGCCGGTCAAGTGGGAAGATGTGACATTTCACTCTCCGGAACTCAACAACATTTATGCGCTGACCTCTGCCGAGATCGACAAGGCCTTCAGCGACATGTATGAGCTGGACCAAGCCATGCACCACGTCGCAGTCTTGAGACTCACACAGACCCGCCGTCGCATATTTCTATTGTACGTATGCGTCGTGTCAGCACGCTCCGTTTCGCCACTTGTGTCTGCTGGTGATGCGTGCGGTGAAGGACCTCCCGGACGGTCTGGTGGTCACATTGCGGCCAGAAGACGTCACGCCGTACCTTTCAGACTCCTATAAAGACCTGCTGGAAACGGGACACTGTGAGCAATGCAGTACTGCAATGCACTCCCGAGTACATGCATGTAGCCGTGCGTGATGCGTGTCTCTTTTGGTGTCACAGGTTTGCCGCATCGGTACAAAGATCCAGGTGGGAGAGAGTGCCGATATCTGCGACTGGCTACCGTTCTTCTCGCGCAGATATTGTTAAGCGGAGGACCAAGAATGTGAAAGCCCTCAAAACCAATCCATCCGACGTCACCAAGGCACTCAACGCATATATCATGAAGAAACTCGACCACCTATGTGGCAAGCGCGACTTTGGTAAGGAAGCAAGCCGCGACACGCAGAAGCCATTCCACTTTGCATCTATGGCTTGGACTTTTGTGCCTTCGTTGTGTGTGTGTTCCTTCTTGTCTGTGTGTGTGGGTGCAGAGTCACCCAATAACCGCGGCAATCGGGTCGAAACATTCATGCTGGTCGCCATCATGGCTGCACTGCTGCCGCTGCTCAGCACGTACATCGGCGATAGACGGATAGACAAATAGGTCTGCAGTGCGTGTGTGTGTTTGTGTCTCTGAGACATGCATCTTTGGCCGCAAGTATTTGTGACATGCGCCAGATGTCCACAGGCAGGTTTTCAATGAGGGATAGCCACAGAGACGCCTATGTATGTCTGAGTGTCACGTTTGCCAGCTTGTCCAATCATCGATGTGTATCCGTCGCGCCGCGGGCGCTATAGACACCTAGCTCCCTTGATCACATCCTCTACACACACGCTGCAGCCATGGTGCGATGCATCTCATCAACAACCAGTGATCACATGGGCGTCAGAGAGAGATGGCCATCAGGGGGTGTGCCGGCCGCATGGTCTCCATAACCGTGGTCACCATAGGGCAACGCAGCAGCATAGGGCGACGGAAGACCAAAGGACGCCGGCCTCTCATACCCGGGCACATGTCTGCCAGACGGCATCGCCTCAACATGGTCTTCGGTTGGAATGGCAAGGGGCGGGTCGAGGCTGCTGGCCGGAGACGCCAATGCGCTCGCGGGGATGGTTATGGGTATGAACGATGTGGGGGACAGACCGTCTCGGGTGACGCTTGATGCCGTCCTTGGAGGCACTGGAAGACTCGGCATCGGGAGACGTGGCCCAGACTGGGAGTGATTGCCAGACACATCCGCCACCCTCACTGTCGGCAGCGGCACCGCGTCTGCACGGCTTCCACAATCGTGATCATCATTGTCCATCGGTGTCTTCACGCTGATTGGGACGCTCTGATGCACAACGTCAGCACGCTGCGGCGAACCCGGAATGGACCCGGGCAGCTCGAAGTCCGACTGTGTACGTGCCGCAATGTCCCTCTCTGACTCGCCACGACACGCCGCTGCGGGTGTCATGCTGAAGGTCATCTTGGATGGCGCTTCCTCGTCGACGGACATGCTCATTTCATCCGAACGGCTCTGTGGGCTGCCCTCTCTCTGGTATAGAAATGACGCCGCCGTCACGTAGGGCTTGGCAGGAGGGCGCTTCGAGTCCTCCGTCCTCCGGCTGATGTAGCCGACCTCGGGTGGCTGCGGAGACACCCGTGCGTGGGATTTCCTTGACGCGATCGGGGAGGGAGTGCTGTGTGGGGAGGTGATGGCTGTGTTGAGTGGGGCGCGGGGCGGGGTGTAGTCGGACATGCCGATGGCTCCGTGGCCCACACTGACTGTGGCTCCGTAGATGGAGTGACGGATAGAGTACTCGGGGAGAGTCGCCCTGTGGATGACACAGGCAGGCAGCAAACATGACGGACGTGACACAGGCAGGCACAGCACACGGCATCCATGTCCCTGTGTGGTGTGACGTAGCGTGGCGTGGCGTGGCGTACTCACCTTCGCTTTCTCTCGAGTGCAGACAGAAGGGCAAGGGTCAGCAAAGCAACCCGGAGAAGATCAAGAAAAAAGAACAAGAGCACCAGAACGGCTGTCCACAGGACCTGCACACGTGGAGGGAGACACATACACGAGACATGACAAACCGAGATCATTCACACTACGTGGACAGTTGGCTTCTCCTGACCAGGAAGTACGATATGTCAGCAAGAGATCCAAGATGTCGGGGCGCCAGCAGCAGCAGCACAGCACACGAGGCGGCAAGCATCGAACACATGGTCAGGTGGCTGAGTCCCAAGGACAGTCTATACACCCAGTCCGGCGTGTCAGGCCGCCGGCCCAAGTCCAGTGTATCATGCCTGACCGCACACCAGAAGAGGAGGGAGGAGACATGGCAACGGGGGCAGGCAATCTGTCTTGTCTTGCGTCAGCCTGCTCCTTGAATGCGTACTTGAGTGCCATAAGGTGTTCCCTCTCCAGCTGCTCAATGATCTGCTGCACCAGCTGCACACTCCGGTCATCATATTTGAGGTCCTGCAGACCCGCCGGCTGCCTCATGATGGCCTCCTCGACGCTCTCCAAGGCCAAGGCCTCACCCACGTCGGGAGGGGGCAGGGCTGGCGGCGGTATTATGGGCGGCGGCTGCAGGTGGCCGAGGTCTGGCGGCTCGGATGGGACTGCTGCATCTCCCTCGATGTCTTCTCTGAGTGAGGGCACAGAGGATGGCGGCGGTTTGTGTGGCACTGTAATATCGAGGAATGAGCGGGCCGGGAGGGCGCCACCGGCCGCTGACGGTGGGTGGAGATCCCGGGTCAATATGATGCGCTCCAGGATTGTAGCGGGGGTGTCACCCTCCTCGATTGGGGGCAGCTGAGACATGGCACGCAAGTCTGTTACGGGGATCATCGATCTGGGTGTCTGTGTGTCTCTCTGTCTGTCTGTCTCTGACTGACTGACCACATTGAGATGGGGTTCTCTCTGTGGCCAAGGGACGACTGTGGGCAGGTCCGGGGCGTCAGATGGCGGTGGCTCGGTGGGCAGCGGGATCGACGGAACTCCCGCGCCCTCTTCGGGTCCCGCCACACGAGATATGTGTGAAAGCAATTCAGACAAGTTCTGCGCCGGGACGAGGGGCGGACTCTCGGGCCGCTCTGGGGGTTGTGCGGTGTCTTCCTCTCCCTCTTCGTGTTTGTTGTCCTCTGTGGTTGCCGTGCCGGGTCGGCTGGACGCGAACACGCCCTCGTCTCTCAGCTCTCTTCTCAAGAGGTCGCTCGCCAATTCACGGTCAGCGCTGCTCCCCTGCGCGCTCTCTTCATCGATGACGTTGCCTCGCGCCAAGTGCGACTGCGGCGAGGCTGCGACTGACCGCGTGAAATGTGAGGGGGGGACAGGTGTTGTCTCGACTGACCCTGGCACAGTCACCGGCGCAAAATCGATATTGGAAGACGCGCCAGCCCGCCGCTCTTCTGCATCTCGATCTGGTGGCATCAAAGAGGGGTGGCTTGATGGCTGTCTGGACGGCTGGCTGCTCAGTGGGGCCACCACCGGCCCAGTTGCACCTGGCTCCCACGCCGCCATTGGTGCGTCTTTCCTCTCTCCCTTTGTTGGGGCTCGCACTGTCGGCTGCCTCGGCAGGTTCAGCAGAGGCTGCGGGGGCACCTTCCTCGAGTGGACTCACCTGCTCTCCTTACTCTTGTCAACTGCCGGAGCCCACGGCCTGCAGGCATACATGGCGAGCGCGAGAAAGGGCAGCGGCCACGAAAAGAAAGAGGCGAAGAACAGCAGCGGGAAGAGCGTCAGGGAAAGCCGAAGGCCGAGAGACAGCATTGCGGCTGTCACGAAGAGACACGAGAGGACCACCAGGGACTTTTGCATTCTCGAAACTTTCATGTCGGTCTGGTGCACTTGTAGGAACAGGTGCCGGACGAGAGCCACACGCATTACAGATCGAGCAAAACGGACGAAGGATGATTTCGAAGTATAATCAAGTGGGTCACGCAGAAAGCGGCCAATCTGCACCGACACACAGACACAGACAATCGTAGGTCCCGGCTCGTTGTGTACAATGGGTGTGCTCCCCTAACCTCTTCTTGCAGCACTTTACCCCCTGCCATAGCATCCACGTCATCCGCGTCCACAACTCCCTCCTTCTCTGACCGTGTTTTCCTTCGTCTGCGGCTCCATCGCGCAGTCAGCCACACCACCCAATGGATTCCGAACACTATCACACACGCAATGACCACTGTAACGGCCGAGGCGACGGGATCGCCCCGATGTCCTTCTGGAAGACGGAACAGGTCCAGCCCCTGAGACTCGAGAAAGAATGGCGAGGAGGGCGTGTCGGCAAAGAGCCCGACGAGTGCCATCATGGGTGCGCCAGGAGGTGGCAGGACGATGCAGCCGGTCGGGTCATCATACGACGTGTTTTGACTGGTCCATGAGGCATGCAGCGTTCGCCACTGGAAGCACGATGCCGCGCCGCCATCTGCCGTGTCCTGATCCTCGTCCACTCGTGTGAGCCGAAACATCCCTATAGATAGGTTGGCTGAGTTGTCAAGCGGTGACCCGTCATCCCTGGCGACAGCCACGCTGCCCACATGAAAGCCCTTATCGGTGTCGTTTGCGGGCCTGTCGGGCGATGTACCGTTGGGAACGTAGAAGGGGTTGCTCAGGAAGCACATATAGAGATAGGTGAAGGGTGCAAGGGTGTCGGTCGGAGAGGCGAAAGGGAACCATATGTCATGGTTGGACTGCACGACGTCGGCGGTCTTCTCCATCTTGATGTGCAAATGCCGTGTGAGCATTGAGAACGTCTCTGCGAGGCAATAGAGAGACACGTGGCAGCACGTGTACGAAAATCGGTCGGTGTGATGTGACAATGTAATGTTACCTCCAGTGTCAAGTTGGCTGGCGAGCACATTGAATATCGAGTGCAGGGCCGTGTACACAAACTGCCCAGCCGAGTAGGGAGAGCCGTCAGACGTGTCATCGCCCTGCAGCCGCCTTGCCGTGCTCCCAGATCCGGCTGCCGTAAGCGATGCTAGTGCTGGCGTGTCGGCGAAAGAGATATCCGATATTGCCGCGATAAGTGTGTTCGGGAGTGCCGAGTCCAGCGACATAAGAGGCAGCACGAGGTCCAAAATGACCCTGAGCAACGCCTGATAGCTTCAGCGACAGCAATCGACAGCATCTGATTCATGACCATGGAAGATGTGTTGTCTGTCGTATGTGATGTTACCCTCGCCCCGCACTGCTCCCAGCGGTGTTCACATATGTCTCGCAACGCCCCGAGGGCACGCTCGTAGACAGCACCCCTCACAGGACTCTGGGAGAACAGGAATGCACGCATGACCGCTGTAAGTAAGAGACCTATGAACACATGGATGGAGACACAGCCCACACAGCCCAGCGCACCTACCGTTCTGACAACGTTTGATAAGATCTCGCCAACGACGCTCAAATCGTCATCCGTCAAGCGAGAGGATAATCCCGATCGTATGAGGGCTGACAGATGCCCACCGGCGAGTGCCGGGTCGCCCAGCTTGATGGTCTGCAGCAGCTGGGTGGCGTTTCGCTCCGCCTCCCTCTTATACACCCTGACTGGTTGTATTTGCCTTCTGGCTCCTCCCAGGTATGTCCTGACGTCGACGAAAGCGTGAATCTCGTAGGTTGGCCAAATGCCGGCTGGCAGGGCTGAGGTCTCAATGGAGGTGAGAGGGAGGGGACCGCCGCCCGATAGGTACACCTGAGACCAAAGACAAAGGTGATGGCGCCTCACGAGTGTGGCACAAGAGCATCCTTACCTCAATTCGTGTTTGGTTGAAGTAGTTGGGCTGGGAAAGAAACGGACAGCAATGCAGAACAGCTAGGTCAGAGAGCCCCCTTGCATCCTTCTCTTATCTCTTACCGACACGCCGAAGTCATATGTCAGTGGCAGCGCATCAAGGTCGGCCGACCACCCGTCGCACTCTAGCAGGAAGGGCGTGATCATCGATATGCCAATCAGAGGCGTCACGTTGAATGTGCCGACCATTGGCAGGGCCATGGCCACAGGTACGAGCAGCGTGTTGGAGTCCCTGTAGCCGGTCTCCTGGTCGATGATGTGCAGCGAGAACCGGTAGTCGAAGCCGGCGGGGAGGCTGAAGGGACGCAGCAGCAAGCTGGGGCGAGATGGTCCTGCAGAAATGCCCACAACGTGAGATAAAGGAGATTAAGAGGGTGAGGCAGGTGTGAGTCACCTGTGGTATTGAAGACAGCCACTTGGTCAAGATCGACTTGTTGAACGGGCACTGGCCTGAATACCTTCCCTGGAATCGGGTACGTGGGGTCTGTCAAGGCGACCTCAGCCTCATACTCAGGGTTGCTCTCCAGCCGATGCACCGTCCACACATAATACCGCCGCGACACACGCCACTCCTCGACCGATGTCTCGTTCCCAGAAGTGTCGTTTATGGCTTCGATCGGCTGCCCCGCGTCTTTGGTCTTGCTTACGTCTGCATCGGATGGCCTGACGCCCCCAGGTGCCATTGTAGCAGACTGCGTCGGATCGACCGGGAGCGCGTGTGTGAGTGGGTCTCTCGGCGCCGGGTCTTGATCGAACAGGACGTGGCCTCGCAATCGGATGGGCGCATAGTTGGGCACGGGAAGGGACTCGAGAGGAGGCAGGTAGACGCGATATGAGCTGGCGTTGACCATCTGCTGCAGGCTGCGGGAGACATTGAGCGGCTGTTTGATCTCTATCTCAGCGTATGCTGACCCCTGCTTCCATTCAGACACCCTCGTCACTGCACACACACACGCTCACAGAGTGTTTCTATCGATCAGGAGACGGACGCCATGCATGTCTCTTGCGCACCTCTCGCGTCGGGATTGGGCACCCCCACATGAGCGGTGGCCTCAAACCGTAGCTGCCACCCCTCGTCGAATATTTCAGGCCTCAGTGCGATGGATGCTCCCGTGATCTGACAGGCGATGCCGCCGCTGCCTATCATGTCCCACCTAATGGCCGACAGCTCCGACGTGCGGCCCTCGTAGGTGCACTGGTGCGGCCGGGGGAAGGCCACATTGTTGAGATCGTCGCATGCGTCAGGCGGTGTGTGGTTGTAGATGAAGGACACTAGAGGGATGCACCGCCACGTGCTGACAAACACCGACACACAAGATGCAAACAGAACTGTTGTGGTGTGTTGGCTGCTCACAAGTTCGCCAGGGTGGCATTGGGCATATCGGGGTCGAATGAGCGGGAAGCGTCGAGCACCACAGTCGTGTCCCTTGGCACGTGCTGGTACGGTCGACCAAACACCACAACAGGCGGCGAAGGCGAGATCTTGACCTTGACTGAACCCTCGGCCATGTAGGCGGGCCCGCTGTCCTCCCCCATCACGTTGAGAAGAAAGCGATATGTTGCAGCGGCCTTTAGCGTGCGCTTAGGCACGAAGAGGGAAGTTGACTCCCACCCCGATATGTTGAGGCCGGAGGGGTTGAATGGCAGCGTTGGATAGAGCATGCTGATCTCCCATCTGTACTTCAGGGCCTCCTCCCGGCAGCCAGACTGCTGCACCCGCGCCACGACAGAAAAATCTCTGTCTCGCGGGAAGGTCTGCTCAGCCAACCCGGCGATGAAGACCTGCGGCACCGTGTCCTCGAGGACGTCAATGTTGACAGTGACCGAGTCGGTGAAGCGCCAAAATGATGTCACCTGCCCTTCGACCGTCAAATGGATGACGGCATCGGGGAGGTCCTTGTGGGCTATGCGAAGGACAGGCCGGCTCGTGTTGGATATCAACGCAAACAACTCATTGACCTGCACACCCCATACTTGTCACACATATGGTGTCTCGCAGAAGCGGCCTGGCCTGGGTACGGTACCTGTGCTGCGTCGCAGTTTGTGTTAAAGTCATACACTGGCGTGTCCTTGTCACCATCAGCCCAATGATACCTCCACTCGCCCTCGCCTTCCCCCTCCCATGCCGCCTCATCAGGCGGATCGAGGGAGTACGGGAAGCCACTGCCGTACACAGGATACTCCAGAAAGACACTGCTAGGCTCCGGCGTCTCGAATCCACCCAGAACATACCGCGCGTCCGCCTCCCCCTCTGTGCCATCTGGTGGGAGAGTCGGGTAGGGGGTGGTCGACGGCACAGGTGGCGGTGAGGCGTAGCCACGACACTGCACATCCCTCAGGCGCCATTCCCATGTGGCCCTGCCCCCTGTCGACTGCGAGGCCGACATGTCAAGAAAGATGGGGGTGCATCGGTCGACCTGCTTGGTGGTGCCGGTGATGGTGGCTATGGGGCCCTCGACACCGTGAGCGATGGACAAAAAGACGCCGCCCGACGAAGGAGGCGAGTACGTGCCGTTGGCTTCGGAGTAGATGGTGACGGGGCGGATGAAGAGGGGGTCCCCTGGATCGGCTGCATGATGCACCTCCTGACCGAATCGCCAGTGATAAGATCAGCGATCGATCTTGCGTGACTGGAATCTTTGGGTGAGTGACCAGGTGGATGGTGAAGGACGACACCGACGTCCACGTGCAGGTGGTGTCATGAAGATTCAACTCCAGTATAGACAGCTGAGCTAAGACCCTGATGGCACACAATACATCCATGGACACTGATAGAGGACAGGCTCACTCGCTCACCAGCTGCAGGGGAAGTTCGGCTGCCAAAGCTGTGTTTCGTTGTGCCAGTCATGGATGCCGTCGCCGTTTGTATCCACCGGCTCTACGCCCATCAGTGTGGCACGATCGAACCGGACATATACCTCGCGAGCAGAAGATGCAAAGCGAGCCTCTAGCATGAGGAGCTGGAGGGCCCTCGACAACGCCCTGCAGGCAAGAGACACACACTACAGTCAAAGCGCGAAACACCCATGGTCAGGTCAAGGGTGACCTTTGGCACTTTGAATCGCCTGTATTGTGGGTGCGGATACAATGGGGGGTGTCGATCAGACGACCGATTTCCCATGGACGGCCACAGGCGGAAGTCGGGCAGGTCCCGTCTCTCGTAGTAGGAGCCGTCAGGGGGCAACTGCTCATACGGACACGCCAGCTGCAGGATGTGGCTCGACCCATCAGATCTCGAATGGCGCACTGCGATGAATGAGTACGGGAGGGAGGGGTGGGAGGCAATGGCCGACAGGTAGACGGATCGAGGATTGACCAGAAATAGGGACGGTGGGTGCTGCAGAGGATGTAGCCGATACAATGGGACGGTGCAGCGGTCGAAGAAATCGTCGTTCTGGCATGTGCTCCAGTTGCCGACGGACGGCTCCCGCACCAATGACCAGTGAAACGTCTGTGTTGTCACGTCGGACCAGAAGACAGCCAGATGATGGGTTTTGTCGATGTCCAGGAAACCCTCGCTCCCACATGTGGTCGCGCCGAGAGGGACTGCGACACGCAACACCAACACAACACGGCAGACAGACAACACAGGGTGGTTCTTCTCGTCGGCACGTTTCTCTTTCTTTCCATCCACTCACAGATAAGCTCGTTTGTGCCCTGCCCACTTCTACGCACTCTCAATTCCTGCCTCTCCACCGTCGCTTGGAAGGCAAATCCCCGCCGACCATTCAAGAACTTTGTGAAGCCTTCATTCAGCCGCACCTGATAGTGGAGGCTCTCCCGAGACACATAACCCTGCGCATTCGCCACTTGAGCAGCAGATGAAGTGTGCCCTTCATGGGGTCATATGTGCACACAGACGCCCCAGCCGGCGACAGGCCGACCTCCACCCACTGCCCTGACCCATCACGCCACTCGTGGTCGAGTGCGACAATCTTCTGGACCTGCGGGAATTCCGGGAGGGGGCCGGGGATCCAGGCGGGGTCACTGAGGTAGTTCTCTTGCTTGATGCACCAGGGGCAGATGTGGACGGCCCCTATCAGAGAGTGCTCCCACACGGCAATCAGCTGCTCCTTAATGAAATCGTAGAAGAAGCATGTGACAATCTTGAGGCCCATCTCGCGATAAGGCAGGCGGAAGTGATGGGCGAAGATCGGCGTGCCGTCGTCCCCGTTGTTTGCGTGGACATAAATGTCCTCCCACCTGCAGGGATCCGATCCACAAACACGGCACATCTACGGTACGGTGACTGAGGAATCCATTGCCGACATACCTGTCTGTGTTTGGCGATCGCATTCCTACCAGAGTGTAGACTATTCGATGCAGCGGGTCCCAGAGTAGCTACGAAACACGCTGTAGAAGTTCGTGCCGCCCTCCCCGCCACACACTATTGCCCCAGGAGCCAGTGAAGCATCGGTCGGGATCTTATACTCGTTGTACAAGTCGATTTCCTGGTCCTCACACAGGAAATCACACCCACTTGCAGACGGACTCTGGCCCCGCAGGATGCCAACGTCACTGCAGCAGAAGCACTGCTCCCCGCGCAACAATGCCAATACATATTCTTGGTATTCGCAGAGGAAGACACATTGCAATCGAGAAGACGTCGCGAGAGCCATTTCGACACAGAGGCCGCCCAGTGGGTTGATGGGCGTCGTCAGCTCATAGCAGCCGATGTGAATAAAGGTGCTGAAGACCACGGGCGGCGACTCATGCGGTTCGTCCCGTGTCTCCATGAAAACTCGCGACATGATGGGTTGCAGGCTGTTCCACTTGTAGAGCTCCTCTGCAGATGGGGAAGGGGCTGATGTGTTGCCGCTCGGCATCCATCCCGTGAGGTAAGGCCGGTCTCTTTGACGAAAGGCCGTCGGCATCTCAGCCGTCAACTCTACCGAAAACTGCCCCACGACGACTTGAACTCGCAAGAACAAAGGCAGCAGCGGCCACAAAGATCCACGTAAGGGAGATCGGTGGAAAATCATGACGTCTTGACACTCTGGTCAGAGACGAACGAACCTCGGAGTCCCTGAATACTCGGCGTCTTTCGTCGTGCATTCGTGGATACAGAGCAACAGCGGCAATACCAGCGGCAGCACGGAGCGGGCCATGGGGCTCTCCAACACCCTGAGCCTCTTGCAAAGCCTTTCGCTCTTTTGGCGAGACTGCGGGTGGGCGTCCCCAACAGGCCCCCACAAAGCCCCCAGCCACCCCACGATTTGTCCTCTTCTTCGAAAAGGACTTGATGATGACCGACGCCAGCCTATAATTCCCACATCATAGCCACCTTCCCCGTCCCTCGAGCTCGGTCCTTCTTTTTCCCCCGTTCGTGCCACCCTGTGGTCTGCCCCGGCTTCCACTGGCACACGCGGCCCTTCCCATACCTCGTGGACGCCTTTCTGGGTCCCCACCCATCGCCCGTGCGCTCGATGCTTCGCTACCCCCGTGCGTCAGAGGACTTCCGAGTTCTTGATACTTCTGGCGGCACCAGTGGGCTGCACAAGGCGTCCGACTCAACCATCGCCATGTCGCCTGAGCAGTGCGTGGGCCACCGTGACGTGCAGATGGAGTCAGGCGAGTCGGACTCCCCGATGCCCGACTACTGCAAGGAGACGTCCAACACGTCCCTCGGCAGCCTCCTCCTCGAGAGCCGCAGCACACAGGAGTCCCTCAACCGCGGCAGGAGTGTCGTGGAGGGCCTGGATGTGATCATGTGCCAGGCAGAGGGCGCCTTCCCACCGCCCCCCTCGCCATACAATGCACTTGCGACGGCCAGCCACCGACACGGCACTTCTACGGTCGTTCGTCGCCGTGTTCGTGCGGTGCCGATGCTGCCCGTGCCGACCACCGAGACATATGAAATAGGCAAGGAGACATTCGAAGTCGACATCAAGTACGGCGACGTTGAGCTGATTGGCCAAGGGGCATACGGCACCGTCGCGTAAGGCGCTATTGAGGGGACGACGAGTGTGACTGACACTCACGATTCGCGTCATTTTTTCTCCTGGTGCGTTGTGTGCGTGTGTTCAGTAGTGCGCGTCACCGGCAGAGCGGCAGTATGGTTGCGATCAAGAAGGTGACGCATCTGTTCGACCACTCTGTGTTCGCCAAGCGGACAATCCGTGAGCTCAAAGTGCTGCGGCACCTCTCGCACGAAAACATCATATCGCTCGTCGAGATACAGCTGCCAGAGGACAAGGAGTCATTCGAAGAAATGTATGAATGTCATGTGGAGGGGAGAAGGGGAGGGCACAATGGGGAGGGACAGCACTCACTGTGAGCACAGCACATTGTGTGGTGTGTCGGTCCTTGTCTGCTTGTTGTTGCTTGCCTTGCATTGTGACGACAGCTATTTTGTGACGGAGTTGATGCAGGCGGATCTCGGGACGATCATCCAGTCGAGACAGGACCTCACCAACGAGCACTTCCAGGTAAGTCAGTCGATCGACGTGCGGTGCGGCCTACACCTTCACCATACATACATACATGCAATGCCTACCTACCTATCTATCTGATACATTCATTGTGTCTCGTGTCTCGGGTCCCTTCTGTCAGTTTTTTGTATACCAGATTTTACGTGGTTTGAAATACGTCCATTCGTGTGGCGTCATTCACAGAGACCTGGTTGGTATGCACGACCAACATACACACACAAAGCGGCCGGTAACGGTCTCTCTCTCCCCCTGGATGGATGGATGGATGGATGGATGCATTTGTGTGTGAGCAGAAGCCTCGCAACTTGCTGGTCAACGGCAACTGCGACCTCAAGGTGACGCAAGCGACGCACACACACGCATGTCTTTGCTATGTGGATGCATCCCTGCGCCTGTGTGTGTCAGATATGTGATTTTGGTTTGGCGCGTTTGAAGGGCGAGAGGGAGTCATTCAGACTCAGCCCCATGACCGAATACGTCACCACCAGGCAATTGACGAAGGCACACACATGGGGGGTCGACTCATGCATGCGTTCACTTTTCTCTGCAGGTGGTACCGTGCTCCTGAGATATTGTGTTCGTTTCGCTACTACGACGAGAAGGTGGACGTGTGGTCGGCGGGGTGCGTGCTGGCGGAACTCATCCTCAGGGCACCCATCTTCCCGGGAACAAGCAGTAAGCACCAAAAGCAAATGGATGGCACACCATACACGGACGGATCCCTATCGGCTGTGGCACGGCATGGGTATTCGCCTTTCGTGTCATTATACTTCAGCCCGCCGTCAGTTGGAGTTGATTTGCGGCCTCATTGGCAAGCCGACTGATGGAGAGATCGACGCCGTGAACAACAGACGGGTATGTATGTATCTACCTACACACATCAAAACATGCTTACAACCATCTGTCTGTCCACTCTTCCTTCCCTTGCTTGTTTGTCGTGTCAGTGTCGTGACTTCCTCAGTGGGCTGCCCGACCGCCAGCCACCGCTATGTGAGATATTCGACGGCACGCCTGTCAGCGCCCATGGTGTGGACCTCATCGGACGGATGCTCACCTTCGACCCAAACAAACGCATTTCGGTAGGTACATCCTGTCGTCTGGGGGGTGTGCTGTGCTGCTGGGTTTGTGTCTTCATGTCTCTCTCTTGTCTGTCTGTCTGTGTGGGCGGGTCAACCAACAGGTGACCGAAGCGTTGGAGCATCCGTATTTGGCCAACCTGCACTGCCCGCAGGACGAGGTCAGCAATCCAGGAAGGCAGCGAGACCCCTGATGGACACACACATCGGCTGCCGTGTCCTGTTTGTCCTTGTCTGTGTGTGCAGCCTGGTGGTCGACTGATCCCGCTGGATGAGTTCCTCTTTGAGGACCACGAGGACCACGAGGCGTGCATTCGGGGTGCGTCATCAGCCAGACAGACAGACACAGACACACACACAGAGGACCTATGTCTCCCTCTGTGTGTGTGCCTTATTTTGTGTCCTCTGTGGCCAGAGTTGATATATCGTGAGGCGCTGCACTACCACCCCCGAGCGCGTTCCATCTACGAGCGGTACTACAAGAGGGACGACGTAATCTACATGATGATGGCCGACAACAAAGACGACGACGACGACGACGACACAAACAACGAGGGAGAGGGAGAGGGAGAGGGAGAGGACGAGCAGCGGGCTGATGCGTGTTGCAGATAGACACAAGACACACACGCGCACACACACACACTCGGTGTGTGTCTCATTCCTCATTCACCCACCCCTTCACTCACCCACCAGCCGTGGCATCCTTCCATCCATGGCAATGCATTGACATGGATGGCATTTTCCGTCGTCGGCTCCCAAGGCCGCACTGACTGACTGGCATCTGCTTGCTTCTTTCTGTATACTACGTCTACCACCGCCCATCCCGTCCGTAGTGTGTCCTTGCCTACTTGATTCGTTCATTTGTTGTGTAAGTGTGCGTGTGGCGGAGTGTTGGGCCCCGGACGCGACATATATATCATACGCACAGATCCATATACACGTAATGTACACGCATCTTGCTTCGTACGATCGATGCGATGTGCACACTCACTCACTAACTCACTGTTCTTCTCTCGTGGGGTGGGATACGCACGGTACCTACACACATGCATATTGGTGAAGGAAGGAACAAGGCTGAGATCGATCCGATCCAGTACGCGCCTCTTCTTGACCCAAACAGATCTGCCTTCAACACATGGCGGGAAGGGAAGGGGAGGGTGGGACCGTGGGCGGGGGGAAACTGTCGAGTGAGCACACGCAACCAAGGGGCTGCATGAATGGATGGTGGGGGCATTCTTCTGCCTCCATGCCATGCCACACATTGGAGGGAGGATTGGTGTGCGCATCGATGCATGTCGGGGGTTTCGATGGGCGATCGGTGTCCTTGCTACCTATCCTTGTTTTCGCCGGCTGTCCAGAATTGGTGTGCGATGCGGCAAAACCTCATGGGTGTGAGTGATGTGATGTGACCTGGTGTGGTGTCTTGGCTACCCCATACACACACACACACACACGCACACACTCGCTGTCAGCAGTCAGTCGCCAACACACTCCTCGCTACACACACGCATACGCACCTCTAAGTGTGCGTCTTGTCTCTCTTCACACACGGGGGCTCTCCCTCTCTGTTTCTCACACATGCCATCCATCCATCTCTCTGCCCAGACCCACCCGATTTAATTTTGTCATTCATGTCGCTCGCGACCTTCCTCTCTGTGTGAGTGTGAGTGTGTGTGTGTGTGTGTGTGAGGGTGGTGTTCCATAGGTGGTGCACTTCGCGAATGAGCCTTAAGCCTTGTGTGTCTGTCCGCTCGTCTGGGTGTCTATCTGGTGTGTGGGTGGCTGTCCGTGTGGTGTCGATCGACAAGGCGATTCTTAAGATAAGCCATACAAACATACCTATGGGACGGGACGCACTGACAGACAGAGGGACAGACACATGAATTGACACGAGAGGTCCTCACCATAGAAAGCCATAGACAGACTGACAGACAGACCGGTCCTCTGACACAGAAATCACGCCACGCCAATCACTCACGGGAAAAGTCGGTCGGCACCCACTATGGATGCCCTGCAGCTCATGTCTCATACTTGTAACTCGACAACACACAGCTGTCTGGCCTGCCTGCCCGCCCGCCCGCATGGCTGGCTGGCATGCGTCGCTTTGGACGGCACACCCACACCCACACCCACAGGCACAGGCACAGGCACCATCACGCCACACCAGAGCTCACTTGTTCGTTGCCCATTGAAAAACACGGTACGCACATGGACTAGCTTCGCACTCATCGCTACAGTAACATCACCCAGTCAGTCGCTGCCGATACCGATGGCATACAGGCAGACACAAACAGTCTCACCAGCCACCAAGGATGGTGCACTCACTGTTCGTCGTGGTCGATCACACAACACACAGGGAGTGGCCCATCGAAGTGTGATGATGCCGCGTCTGTCTGCCTGCCCACCTACGGCTGGCTGGTAATGATCATATACATACTGCGGTCACCTTTATTGCTCTTAGCTGGCTGGCTACACCTGCTCCCTCCCTCCCTGTTGCGAATTGTACTGTCACTCTTCGCCTGTCCGGTCCATCGAGAGCGCTGGTGCACGGCTGCAGAAACCCGTGTCCTGGTGATCCGCTGCTGTCACACCACTGCTGTCGATCGACCTCACATATCCAAGGTGCAGACGTGACGTGACCCATGACGCAACGCGACTATCCAAGCACTCACTCCACAGAACGACCGACCAACCAACTATTTGGGTGTGGACACCACAGAAGCACACCCATGGCGTGAGGTGAGTGAGGTAGGAGGGCTTCATTCATTCAGATGAAGAAGGTGAGGAAGAACCAGTTGGCCTCCTGCGGGTCGATGGCGAAATCCTCAACGGCACTGGCGTCAACTGCCAAACTCATCGCCACATCATGCGCCTGCAAACACGCAGTGAAAGGAAAAGCACCGCACACACACACGGCACACAGAGTGTGTGTGATGCCCATGATGGGGGCGATGGGTGTGATGTGATGTCACGTGTGCAGGCACGTCTGGTACGTACCATTTGGTTGACTTGTGGGTTGCTGTACATGAGTTCCATGAGCTTCTGCGCCGTCTCACCGTGGGTGGCCTGCGCCTTGGCCAACGCCATGTCCCCCAACGCCACCGATGTCCTAACACACACACACACACACACACACATACAGACAGACGGACACGGAAACCACACAATGATTGCAATCCAGGTAGGTACTCCCCCCTCCCCAAGATGCATGCGCAACACAACACCTACGCACCTGCGTTCGTCATAGTCGGGTGTCTTGTCTCTGTCGACCATGAATGCGACCTTGGTGGTGTCGTGGGCCGCCTTGACCGCAACGCGCTCGCCGCTCCTCACGCGGATCTCCTCGACAAACTGACACGCCTGCCGAATAGACCGCGACCGCACGTACTCCCGACCATCGCCTCCTGCCCGCATCTCTTGTGTGCCTGGGGGGGTCCTGCACCAGTGGGCGTCGGGGGCTGTGGTGATGCCCGTGTGTTCGTCGAGGTCGATGTTGAACCAGAAGGCCACCGCGTTGAGGGTGCCGTCCTCCTGGATCTTCAGCTTCATGTCGCGGACGGCGCGCTGCGGCTCCTGCAGAAGACCCACACGACCTGAAACACAAAGCGCACGACCATTCGTGTCTGTCTGTCTGTGTGTGGCTGTGTGTGTGTCTGTGTGTCTGACTCACTGAGGTCAAAGTCGAAGAGCAGCCTCGGTTCGGACAGCGGCTTGAAGGCTGCATGGTCCCCCCCGTCGCTGAGGTCCACAGCCGAGTGCTCGCCCTGCACATAGCGGTACGTCCCCCAGGCACTGACGTCCAGCCCCTCGTACTCTCGCGGACCCATCTCCCCGCCCACACAATACACACGGGCGCGGCAGGGCATCGTGACGGCATCCCCTCCCAGAAGGGAGGTCCATGCCTGGTGCCAGAGGGGTAGGAGGCCGTCCCCCAGCAGCCCCACATCGGATGGCAGCCCCACGAGCATGTCGATGACGCCGGGCAGCTCATCGAGGGGGTCTGCGGGCGGAGGGGGCGGCTGCGGGCCCTGCGGGGCGCCCGCTTCCGCCTTCTCCTGGTCGAGCTGGATCTCACCCTTCTCCACAAGCTCGTCGAACTGCTTCTTGCGCGCCTCATAGTTGCGCATGAGAATGCTCATGGGCGGGCGGAGCTGCCGGATGTCCTTTGGCAGGAAGGTGAGCCGCTCGCCCAGGGATGGCGGCTTGAGCTCCTTCCTCCTGAGGCTGTCGCGCTTCCTCCTCTTCTCTCGTCGCCGGCGTCTCCTCAGCTGCTTCTCCTCGTCGTCGGTGTCGGTGTCGTCCGAGTCGCTGAAGAACCCCCGGTCCTTCTCGTCATCGAGATCCTCCTCCCCGACATCAGGCTCGTTCTCGTCTGCCTGCGTCACCCTCTCCTCTCCCCCATTATCCTGCGGCTCTTCTCCCGTCGACTTGGGCAGCCGCGCGTACTCGAGCAGCGTCGGCTCATTGGCCTTTGCGACTCGCCTGCCAAGGTGGGTGAGCGATGGCATCGGGTCGGCAGCGATGATCTTGAGCCTCGGTGCTGCACTCTGGACCTTGGCCTTGGGCTCCAGCCACCTCGACCCGACCTGAGATGCGATGAGGGGGAGGATGGAGGGACCGGCCGATGGGGCGAGCACGTGGAGGGAGGGGGCAGTGCTGCGCCAGTCGCTGTGGTGCTTGGCCGCCAGACGGGAAGACAGAACACGCTTCAGAGCGTCCCGGAACGCTGAGAGGAGCCGAAGGGAGGAGGTGTGTCGAGTGAGTATGTGCTGGCATGTGTGGTGTCTACCTTGGAGGACAGGTTGGTCGCTCATGATGTCCAGCTGCCACCGAGGGATGGTCGACGACCGCACACACACCGGAGACTCCACAGGCGACACTACCCTGTGAGACACAAAACCGATTCCTCCGTTGCTCAGTCGCATCCCCACCGTCCCGTCATTTGTCCTCTTACTTGAATCGTATGTTGGTGGCCGTCTGCTTTGCGCTGACACGCACCACATGGCCCACTTTGTCGACCTGCACCTCGTCCAGCCACTGCACACACTGCCGCCAGCCGGCCTTGCCCAGCGAGGTCTGGCCCATGTCTGCCGCCACCACGTCGGCCGCCTGCTTGGGGAAGCTGTGGGCGAGGAGGGTCGACTGGGCCGTGTGGAGGGAGAAGGACAGGAGGATGGCGTGCACCGGCCCTGGGGTGGTCACAGCGATGTCTAGCTCGGCTGTGCGGGCCGTCAGAGGGAGCGCCTGATGTATCAGCCAATGCATCGACACATGACACAAACGACACATGATGCGTGGGAGAGTGGGTTTGGTGGGAGGGCGTGGTGTCCTCAGGTAGGTACGTACCTCATCTAGCTGTTCGAGCGGCGCATCGAAGTCGAATGAGAAGACTTCTGTGGGCTTTGAGACGATCTTGATGTGTTGTCCGAGCCCGCCCCGAGTGCAGTCCATGTCGACGGCCTCCCCATTGGGCCCCCACAGCAGGTCCCTCACCGCCGAGTAGTCCAGCTCCACCACTGGACAGCCCCTCTCCGGCTCCTTTGGGTCAGCATCCTCCTGAACGCGCACCGTTGGGCCATCCAGCCGCGCCAAAGAGGCGTACACCACAGCCCTGATAGATACATACAGCAATCAATGGACAGACACACACACCACACCACATCCACACGAGCACAAGGCATGAAACGCGAGTGAGATAGATAGAGAAGTCTTGCGCGTCTCGGTCGGTCGTGACGGACCTGGCAGGCAGGACGGTGGGATGCTTGACGGTGAGGTTCTGCCTTGCGTGGCGGACGGCGCTGATGAGCTTCCTCCCCAGGAGCCCCTCATCCATCATGTCGGCGTCGATCACCAGCGCCTCTGCAGGCTCCTCCAGCTCGCACAGCGCCTTCTGCAGCACCGACACGCCACTGGCACTCGACGACGACGATGACGATGGCTGGGGCTCGTCTGCAGGGTGAAGGGAGGGTGGGGATGCGCTGCAGGAGACGTCTTCGGGCCGTTTGCGGACGACCATTACTTCACGCTCGAGGCCGTTGGCCTGCAGCAACCCGGGCAACGCCGAGTCTGCCCCACAGACAAAACCAACACAAAAGAAGCGACGACACGACGGGAGAGATGGTTCGGTTCGGTTCGGTTCACCCCCCCACCCTCCACCCACCAGCCCCATCCATCCGTCCTACTGGCTGACTCGGCTCACCGAGATATCTGGCAGGTGAAGCAGTGCAGGCCACGATGGGCGGCCCCTCGCCCTCCTTCCTGGCATCCCTCCCCACGCCTAGCGCCTTGAGCTCCCTCGCGGCCACCAGCACCGGCACACCGCACCCAGTCCCCACAAACAGCCACGGCAGCCGCGGGGCGGACCTGTCGGCCAGCGAACGGGCCATCTGCTGCAGCTCGCCGCCCCACGCCCGTGGCAGGTCGGACGAGAGAAGACCGAGTTGACGTCTGGGCACACGGAGGTCGCTCGCAACCTGTGGTCAGTCAGCAATTCACTCACGTCCGTGCCGTCTGTCTGTGTGCGTGCTGTGATGCGATGCGATAGAGTGGGTGAATGGGATGGGTGGGTGTGGGGCTACGTACGCTACCTGTAGGTAGCTGCATATGGCGAGTGCGGCTTGGTCCTTCTCTGTGGGCTTCCTCTTGCGTGTCTTGTCCTTCAAGTTGGACAGGGGGTAGAGGGCGGACGCGCTGCCGTCGAACACCACACTCGGGTTGAAGGCGTGGATTGGCATGTGGCCCGGGTCGATCTTCTTGCCTGACCATCGATCCATCAATCAATGAACCACACACCGATCCGATCTGATCTGATCTGATCTGTGTGAACGTGTATGTTGGTTGGCTTATGTGACGTGGGCTGGCTATGTTGCTGACCTCCGAGCATGGCCTCAAGTTGTGCGGGGTCGATGCCCTGCCTCGCCGCCTCAGGGGTGAGCTCGATGACGGGCTCCACCGGCCCCTGAGGAGCCACCGAGTCGGGGTCGATGATCGATTCAAACCTGTGCACACACACGGGGGGAGCGAGGGAGCGAGGGAGCGAGGGAGGGAGGGAGGGATGCAATCAAATCGAAGCTGCGCTCTATGGCATGTTCCTCCTCACCGTTTGTAGTCGACTGTGACCCTCTGTATGTTCTTCTCGTGAGTGTGTTCATGCTGACTCTTGGCCTGCCACTTCTGGAGCTCCTCGTTGTCGGGATCCTTCTTGAGGCCCGCCTGGAACACCCGCGACGCGTCGGCCTTGTGGCCCATCTCGTACAAGGCACGACCCACGCGAAAGTAACCCTGCACACACCACAGACAGACAGACAGACAGACAGACAGACATACACATGGACAGATGAGATGAGATGCGGTCATCTAAGCATCGACACGGACCGTTGGGTATGGTGGTCTACGTACGTACGGCTGTATGCTATGTCAGATGTCTGACCTTTGGCCACTGTGCGTCGGCTTTGACGGCTTCCAGGCCGGCCTCGAATGCCTTGGTCCACTGCTTGAGGCCGGCGTAGCACGCTGAGATGTTAGACCAGATCTTCTGCTTCTCGTCCGTACCAGCCAGCACCTAAACACACACACACACACACACCCCGTATGTCAGACACCCGTTCTCACATGCCAGGTTTGCTTTGGTTCGTTGCACCCCACGCACCCAGGTGACCTGGTCATAGTACTCGATAGCCTTGTGGTAGTTGCCCTTCCTGAACTCATCGGTGGCCAGCTGCTTGGTCTGGTGCGTGGCCTGGTGCAAGAGCTCCGGCTGCGTCCGCTCCAGCCGCTGAAGCTGCTTCTGCAGGTAGTCCATGTCGCCCGACCCCACCGCCTGCATCATCTGCTTGTACTTGTCCTCCAGCCGACGACCGTCCATCTTGCAAGGAAGGCTCAATCGCCCTGCCGAGCGGAGATCTTTGGAGCAAAACAGACGGGGAGGATGATCAGAGGACGCCAACCACTGGGGACAAAAGAGAGAGGGAGTTACGATAGAGATCAGAAAGCTCGCAAACCTGCAAGCTCAGAGCTCGCACCTGAAACCGCTGGAAAACCACAGCGGAACGGGCTCTTTTAGCGTGTGAGGCCATGTAGCGGCTGGTCTGACAGAATGGATGAGTCAACCGGCGGCTGGCCTCTGTTTTGACGACATTTCAACATTCTCATTGCTCCGCTGCCGGCGCCTCTGCCACTGTGAGGGAGGCCACAGCCGGCGACCGTCGACATTGTCGGGTGAGATGATGACTGACGCACTCACTGGTCACTCACTCACTGGACGAGGGTCGGGAGGGAAGGATGGAATGGATGAATGCCATTGGCTGGTGTCCGTGTGTGGCTCCTGTGTGGATGGTGTGGGTAACAGATCTGAGCCTGCACCTGACGGAGCGTTGAGAAGTGGCTACTGGCTCATCTGCCTGCAGTGGGGTCACGGCTGTTGGCGTGTGAGTGGCCCGAGGCAGCGGACGAGTGAGTTGGTTTAGCACATCGTCATATCGTCATGGATTTGACGCAGGTCGGTGAATGACGAGCAGCACATGTCAAAAGGACCTGGACAGAACTCATCCCTCCGATGTGTGTGTGTGTTTTGGTGCAGCTTGTCGCGAATGCCCAGTCTTTGAAGGCGGGCTGTGTGCAGCTGCGGGACGAGTTAGATCAGGTACGATTACCTTACACATCCATCACACGAAGGCCTTCATCAGTGAAGCAAGCCCCGCGCGCTGTGTGTTTCCCGTCCGTCTGGCGTCTGCAAATCATCGCACAGGTGTCACACGTCGAGCAGCACCAGGACCACATCGCCACACAGGTATGTAACCGGCACACACGTGGCCACGTGTAGAAGCAATTCGGACGCCGACGCCCTTGGAATCGCTCTCACACGTCGGCTGCCGTGTGTGTGTGTCATGACGTAGGCGGCTTCCCCATCGGCATTGCTGTTGAGTCATCAGCTGGGCTCGATGGCATCTGTGGTGCGGCTGGCCACTGCCCAGCTGCAGGAGGGGCATCCCAGCCTCGCCACGGCAGTGGCGGCACTCACACCGACCAGTGAGGCGGCGGCGGCGAGTGAAGACACCAACGCACAGCAGGTGACGGGGCAGACCAAAAGACACTCAGTGTGATCGACAGTGACATTTGTTTGTGTGCTGCACGTCACTGTGGCACTGCAGGTGTCCGTAGCCACCAGACCATCATACCGTCAGATCCACTGGAGCGGCCAGCATCCGCCCATCGATGAGAATCCAGTAGGAGTCACAAACGATGAGTCTCACATGTCAAACCATCACCTGTGCGTCTTGTCGCTGTCTGCCTGCCACTCTATAGGCTCGTCGTTGCCTCTCCCGCGACACCCTCGCCATCGTCTTCGGCCACCTGCAGCCGTGGGAACTGACCCCGATCCGCCCCGCACTCGGCGCGTCCCTATTCACCCAATCGGCCGCCAACTACACCCACATCAGCATCGACTGCGAGGACAACACGGCGCGGCGCATGTGGGAGGCCATGCCCATCTCTGTGGCGCACAAGTGGGGCGAGAGGGCCTCACGCATTCGGCAGCTCAAGCACCGCTTCCCCGACTACCCCCTGTGGTGCCGGGGGTGGTGCCGGGGGTGGTGCCGGGGCACTTGGGTGAGTGTCGTAGAGGGTCATGCGGGCGGTCGAGCGGCACTGGCGGCCGACAAGAAGAGAAGACGGCAGCAGGGAGGCGGTGCTGCGGCTGCTGCTGGGGCAGCAGTGGACGACGGTGACGAGCCGTCGGACGATGAGGGCACACTGGAGGTGCTGACCTTCGAGGACGTCGGGCTGCACCACAGCATCCGCATCCCCAACCCTCCGCCCTCATCTGATTTGCCGCCCGTCCCCTCCGCCCCCGTCCGCCTCCCCGCACTCACGACCGTCAAGGACATCCCCAACGAGTGTGCGGCCGCTCGCGTGGGCCGCAGCTGGCAGACACCTAATGTGAAGACATTCAGCCACAGCTGTGGCTTGTCCAGTGGCCGCAATGGTTTCAAGGCATGGCTGGCCGACTGCTGCGAGACGATCGAGGTGCTGACCAGTGGTTATCGTGGCACTGCG